TAAATCAATCTTTCCTAGACAGAAGAGGCCAAAAACAAAAAAACAAATGAGTTTGAGTAAGTTTTATACTCACTAGACATTTTGGAGGAAGAGAAAAAAACGAGTCAGTCTTTGCTTCTTCTACATTCAAATGTATTAATTCTCCAGTATTTTCCACCTTGTTTGTAAAGCACATTTGCAACATTTGGTCAATGCTTGTGTTTTTTTTTTAAAGCTATTTTTTAAAAAAATTCTTCCCTGGTGAAATTCAACATTCAAACTTGCGGGACGGCCTCCTGCCACATACCTCCCAACGACCCATAAGATCTCACAGGCTGGGCCTTCTTCAGGTACCGTCGACCGGGCAATGCCAGTTGGCGACTACTTAGGGGAGGGCTTTCTCTGTAGCTGCTCCGGCCCTGTGGAACGATCTACCCGCAGAGATCCGGACCCTTCCCACTCTCTCGGCCTTCCGGAAAGCCACTAAAACCTTGCTGTTCCAGCAGGCCTGGGGCTTTTGACCCTAAAATACGGTCCAGCCCCATTTAGAACGGACTGTATGGTGTGTTGTTTTTAAATCTATCTTTTCTTTTCCCTGTATTTTATTTTTGATTTTATTTCTGTATTGTAAGCCGCCCGGAGTCCTACGGGATTGGGCGGCATATAAATGTTATTAAATTCAAATTCAAATTCATTAGCATTACCATAACTTAAACTTCCCACCCAGAAGGTTAAAAACAAATTAACATTAGAGGTTGAAAAAGAGGAAGTCTTAATCCCAACTGGATTTCTAACAGGTCTTACCTTTCCATAGCAAGCCTGTTTCCTGAGGGTTATATGCTCACACAACTCCTGGCACAGACTCAGAAGGTCTTTCTTACATTTGTCAACTTCTTCCATAATTCTGGTAACACCATGGCATCCCAGATCAGAACCTGGCAAAAGACAGTCCTTGTAACACATAGTCTGGTTCTGGGTATCTTCTATTACCATATCCAAAACAGTCTCCTGTGAGGGAGGAGGAAAGTTCCAAAGCTCTATTAATTTTTCATAACTATAATCTGCAACAGAAATTCAATGCCTCATTTACTCTACAAAATGTAAAGTACACCTAGTTCTACCTGAAGATTATACTGGACAAACATTTATAAATTTCAGTATATGGTATTCTTAAATAGAATAGATTCAACTAGAAAATACTGAAAAATGAACATTACTAGAACAAAGCTGTCCCCAACAATATTAATATTACAATTAATCTTATTAGATTATAGTTCAAAACATAGATGTGTATCATATCCAGAATTTGGGTTTCTTCCTGCAAAAAGTTTTTATTTAGCTTTACAGGATTTCAAAATTAGAACAGAGTTTTATCCATATGGATAGAATTTATGTAGTTAAGAATTTCATTCTGTGATTTATGATTTGCTTAAAGCTTAATCATGATTTTCAGGCTTTTAAAACAATATAATTATATGTCACACAATTGATATCAAGAGTAAGTACAGGTAGTCCTCGACTTACAACAGTTCATTTAATGACTGTTCAAAGTTACTACTTCACTGAAAAAAGAAACTTGGCAACTGATTCAGTGGTGAGATTCCATTTTTTTTACTACCGGTTCTGTGGGCGTGGCATGTTGGGTGTGGCATGGTTTGGTGGGTGTGGCTTCATGGGCATGGCAGGGGAATGATATTGTAAAATCTCCATTTCCACCCCACTCCAGAGGAAGGATATTGTAAAATCTCAATTTCCTCCCGACCAGCTGGGATTTGAGAGGCAGAGAATAGATGGGGGCAAGGCCAGTCAGAGGTGGTATTTACTGGTTCTCCAAACTACTCAAAATTTCCATTACCGGTTCTCTAGAGCTGATCAGAACCTGTTGAAAACCACCTCTGAACTGATTCCTATTTATGACCTTTGCAGTGTCTTGGGATCATGTGATCAACTTTTACGATCTTCTGACAAGCAAAATCAAGAAGGGAAGTCAGACTCACTTAACAACTGTGCTACTAACTTAACAACTGTCATGATTAACTTAACAATTGGGGCAAGGAAAGTTGTAAAATAGGGCAAAACTCATTTAACAAATATCTGTTGGGCTCAGCTGTGGTCCTAAGTCAAGGACTATCTATAATCCAATCCTCTGTACATCTCTGTCTTAGCATAATATATGTAAAGTATATATAACATATGCTAACTCTATTATGGGAAGTATTTGACATACATCTCTGTCTTAAGAGTCTTCAGACTAGTTTACTCTAAAACTTAAACCAAATATTTGATTAATTTGACTGTGGTCTCCATGACTCACCAACTACAACCAAGTACAGAACAGGAAGGTAGATCGGCAGGCAAATAAGAACTATCCTTACAGCACATGCAATCACCCAGAAATCTGATTTCCGTATCGAGCTCCTAGGGTCCTTCCATTTATACACAAATCAAATACTAATAACCTAGAAAATTTCCATTTTAGCAACCAAATTTAAGATCCTTAAAATCATTCTGTATAGATAGCAAATTACCAATTCCTTTTAACCTCAACAAGAGCTCAAACTTAAATATAGTATATTGACAAGCATTAAAGAAGAACTTGACAAACACCTAACTGGTAGCTATAACGATAATTTTGTAGGGGGAATTTTTATAAACAAATCTTGGCTGAAAAGGGAAATTTAAAAAATATGTAACTTTTTATAACCACATTATTGAGCCATACCATCCAATGCCAATAAAGGGATTCCATAGGCTTCCACTTCAAAAATGCTTCTAGACGGGAGCAATCAGATTCCACAAAACGCAGCAACTGTAGAAATGAAGAACAATCTATATTTAATTATTGCAATATAATAGAAAGTAATATGGTTTCTGTAAGGTAATAGGCATGTCTAGCAGTGCAAGCTTTTAGGTGAGCAACATACCTCCAACTGATTTGTAGACAAAACAATTCTACATGTATTGTAAAACTACAGCCAACCTACAACTAAAAATAAATTTCCTGACAGTGAGAACAATTAATCAATGGAATGGCTTGTCTCCAGAAGTTGTGGATGCTCCCATCACTGGAGGTTTTAAAAAGAGATTGGACAGCCATTTGTCCAGAATGTTATCAGTCTTCTGCTTGGGTAGAGGACCTCCAAGTTCCCTGCCAAATTTTATATTGTTACTGAATTTTAAGCTGTTATTTCTAGTGGTCTCTGTTATGATGGGTTTGTAACCTGATAACATACCTCAGAAAGTGCAGACATCTCCAGACTGACTACTAGAATAAATTTAGGGTGTGTCATTTAATGGGGTGAAAATTAATTTTTGAATTTTTTTTTCAGTAAGGTATTCTAAAAATGTGTGTTTTTACACCTCAAATCTGCTGTGATTTTTGCAATTGCACAATGTTTAGCTTGGTAAATCCGCATCTGATCATATACCCCATAAAAGTCTGCTGTAATCCAAATGCTGTAAACTTTATCTTCCCAAAATTACACCTTTTGCTACAAAAATTAAACGTTTTTTCTGCATGAATCTTATCTAGCTAAGCAAAAAAATAATCCAGGCAATCCATAAACTAACATCAGAAAGCAATTATCTGAGTTACAAAAATGTTTAAGCAAGTTTCATCAAGCCTTGCTTTGATTTGTTCTTGCCGCAAGTTTGNGTTTGAACCTGCGCATTCAATAAACTTTTCCTATATTGCATCGCTTGGCTTCATTGTCTCTTAATTCTACTACACCGGCTCTGCTGCCACGACAGAGAGAATTTTAGTAAAGGTCCTGGGTGCTGATGACAGGCCGAAGGGCATGTCCCTGTACTAATGTCGGCCCACATACCTCAGGAACCTTTGGTGGTGAGGCCAAATTGGTATGTGTAGGTATGCCTCTCTGAGGTCTACCGATGTGAGTAGGTCCCCCTGCCTTATCCTGGTGAGGATGGTTTGCAGGGATTGCATTTTGAACCTCCTATAAGTCACGTGGTAATTGAGGTTCTTTATGTCTAATATTGCTCACCCTCCCCTCCCCCGAGCTCTTCGGTATCAGGAATAGGATGGAATAGAATCCGCTTCTTTCCTAATCTATGAGTACCGGTTCTCTTGCATTAATTTCCAGGAGATGTTGAATCTCCTTGTGCATGAGCTCTCTCTTGGATGGGCAAAAGGGAGTGGGACAGCGAATAAAGTTCCTTGGGGGAAGGGAGGATCCCAGGTGCTCTGCTCTATGGCTGAGCAGGTTGAGTGACCTCCCCTGAGGCCTTGCCTTTGCCTGCCATTCCGCTCCTCCCCTTGACTTTTCTCCTGGTATTGGCCCAGACAGGCCTCATCTACTGTCTCCGAGGGCCCTGGCTGCTCCAATGCAGAGGATGACTGTTTGTCATCCTGCCAGGCTCAGCCAATGTAGAGGGGAACAAAAGGGCCAATAAGGCTGTAAACAACCCTTGCCAAAGATAAAGCGAAAGGAGAGCAAACGTGCTAGGAAGCACTGCTGAGCCACCCAGCTAAAAGAGGCCAGCCGCATATCTTGGACCGTTACAGCCATGTGGCTTTGCTGCACTCGTGCGGGAGGCAGACACTGCGCAGAAGGTCGCAGGCGAGTGATGAAGGACCTGAGGAATGACCACGTAGTGGCCAAAACAATGAGGCTGCCTTGTCGGTAAAAAAGTGGGTGGAGGCGGTGTTGCCGGAGACCTAGACAAAGCCCACACACCACCCGGCAGCAATCCTCCCAGCAAATGAGCGGCGTGGCTGAAAAAGGCCAATAGCACACGAAGCGAGGGCTTAAAAGGGCCACTGCATGCAGGGGGGGGTGTAATAGGGTGATTCGATCCTCTGCTTCTCTCGCCAAAATCGCAAGCCGCAAAAAAGGGAAAGGAAGAAAAACGGTGAACGGGAGGAATGGTTTAATACCACCACTCCCCCCATGGCCCTATGCCTCTTAAGGCAGACCAACTAGCCAGTCCAGTCTCCAACTGGCAGTATGGAAGGCAGGGAGGCACCCCCCACTAGCTCACTCCTCTCGTCAGCAGGAAAGAAACAAAGAGGAAAATTGCAAAATCTTCCCCATGGCTCCATGGCTTAGGCCCAGGGTACCTGCGAGACCACCTACTGCCACCGGTAGCCTCCCATTGTCCAGTGCGATCCCACA